ATATATATATATATATGTATTTGATTACTTTGATAAATTGCTAACATGCTTAATTGCTGGTTTCTTTATAATTCTTCTTGACTTCTTTCATTTCCTTTTGCTTTTTTATTTTTGTAGATTGGTCACTGCTACTTTTGTGTCATACGCAACTTCTTTGTTTATCGATCAGTCTTACAGCTTTAGTGAATATGACATCTTCAATCCAAGTTAGTATTTTTGTGTTTACCTAATTGTTTTGTACCTCGCATGATTTACAGAATTATAAGAACTATATTTTATATCAAAAAATGCATTATCAGTGTATCAGATATTAAGTTCTTGTACTGAGCTAAATTTTGAAAGCTTGTGTTAACGACACTGTCATGATAACTCAGTTAATTTATCTAAATGTCTTTTACAGGAAACGAGCATTACAAAAAATGATAGTTACGGCGTTAAAAGCAGTAATCATAATGATGATGCTATCATGCCAGGTATGCAGTTCCTTTCAACTGCTATTTTTGTCACCATTAGTTAATAATAAACAGTAGCTGATATTTGAATGTTAAGATCAGAAGTTGGTTGTGTATTGTATGACAACAGCGTTCAGTAAAAATTAACTCTGTTACACTATTTTCTTTTACTTAAAATTTTTTTCTTTTTTGTGAACACATATTCTTTTGTATTTTTTAAAGATTGTAATGTTATTTAGTGAAACTTCACTCAGCATATCGTTATACTCACGCTAGCGAATTGCGCATAGCTGTTAACGGTTTCACGCTAGATATGTCGAAAGCAATAGATAAAGTGTATAAATTTGAATTAAAAATGTATGGCATCAAAGGTGATGGAAAAGAAAAAGAACTATCTCGTGGTCCAAGAAATGAGTATGCTTCTAATTTTGATACTATCATTCTCTTAATAGATTATTATATGAAATATTACAATTATCTTTTTTCAGCGTAGCTCTATCCATTCGTCATCAGGCGCTTTGGTCCATATATCATCAAATGTTAAAAAGTCATGAATACTTATTTGGTAAAAATTTGATAAAGTATTTTTATGATTGTGGAATCAATTTTTATTCCGTGGATGAATTGTGGAATCGTGAAGAGGGCGAAAAAGAATTAAAAATAAATATTGTACGTTTTCCTACCAGCTTATACTTCACGAAAGTAAAATGAAGAAAGATGTGTTTTTAACTTCGGTTAAAAATCATTCAATTTTTTGAAAAAATCTTTGCTGTCATTTATAATGATAAGTTTTGATTTCTAAATTCATTTTGCGTAATTTAAGTAGTTTTTTAAGGAATTGTTGTGTCCAACTTCAAGAGATTTTCTTGGTAAGCAAACCGTTCGATTAGTTGCACGCTTGTTGCCTTGTGGAGAGGTGTTTATGCATAATAAAACAGTCACTGAAACAGATCATAATCGGTCGTTGCTACAGTTTTTAGAAATTGCTACTTCACAAATGATGTTTGATAAGTATGTGTCCTTCTCATATTATTTAGTTAACTGTTTTGTGTGATAATATTCTCAGAGTTAAATTGTTATGTTGCTTAGTGTTGTGTTTGATTTTTACTTTGTTACCAATATTTTTAATACAATTTTTAACTATGAATATTTCAGAGGAACTCATTTATGTTTTCGAAACAAGGCATATGAATACTCAAGTGATCAGAATGCTGAAATATATAGTGGTAAAGTCGTAGTTTCTGGTATGGAAAAGAATATCCGTCTTGTTGGTAACTCGTGGGATGAGGCTACGCCTATTGTCCAAATTGACGGTAATATTTAATTTTTTTAGACAAAAAAAAA